AAAAAGTATCAGGGGGGTCTGGAGGACCTCTCATCGAGTTTCGGAAAGTGTTTCACAAAATCCTTTATTATTTATTAGATATTTATTACCCCTTAATAGATAATAAAGACGCAATAAATAATAAAGGATTTCCTTAAATAGTTTCCGGGGCATTTAATAAATATCTAATAAATAATAAAGGATTCCCTCAAAGTGTTTCCGAAAACGCCTTGTACCTATGTATCAGACCCCCCTGATACATAGGTCATATCTTTTATTGAATCCTTATTAAATCAGGGGCGCATCTTTTAAGGCGCGTCTCAGGGGTTCAATAAGAATGGTCCCTGATACATACATACATCGAGTTTTGGAAAGTGTTTGACGAAATCCTTTATTATTTATTGACTCTTTATTAGGGCTAATAAATACGCAATAAATAATAAGCCCTTCCTTGAAATAGTTTCCAGGCGCATTTAATAAGGATATAATAAATAATAAGGACTTCCTTAAAATAGTTTCCGAGATATATGCTAGCCTACGCAGTGGCATTCTTTGGAGGATTCCTAATCACCCTTTCAATATATGGACTGTATTACGTGCGAACCCCCTGCTGACTGCATCGTTAAAAAAGAGTCGCCGACCCTCATTGTCGACGAACCCCACTTAGATAATGCTGCGCCTAACCACATAGGATCGAAGGAAGGATGCACTTTGCGACGTCAAACGCCCAGCGGCCATCCTTCTTACCATACGACCTCAGATGCGTAAACTCCTGTCCTTCGATGACGTAACGAACGCGATCCGGCGCCCACAGGCTGTACGTGACACCCTCATGCGCTAAGAGCAGCCGTAGCCTGTCGTCAAAGGCTACATAATTTTTTATTTCGTAGGTAACACCCTCCTTTAAGTCTCGCCAGTGTATCTGCCTTACCGCGTTAAACGCCATATATTCTATGAAATATCTTTAAGTGCGTCTTTAAAGTGTCTGTGTTCCTAAAGCGCTTGCAGCACCACCTACAAGGTAGACGAATTCCTCGCGCATACTCCGCGATGCTCCTGCAGATGTCGTCGTAGTCGTTGCTTATCAGCACCTTAAATCCATTTTCCTCGTAGCCGCTTAAGAGGCGGCGTTGATCCTCAGACAATACCCCATTGCCTTTCGGAGTCTTTAACTCGATGCAGAATCCACGGTAATGCTTATGGGCGTTCAAGATAAGAAGGTCGGGTTGACCGCGTTGATATCCTTTCTGCCAGCACTTTATACGTTTGCCGTCCGAATCCTGCAGTTCGCCTAGGCCGGGCGTTATGAGCATCTGAGGGTAAAACCGGCGGATGTAGTTAACCACCTTCTTATGTAAGTCAAACTCATTCTCAATCTTAAATATCAATTTGTTGGGGCCGTCAAAGCGCCGTTCTATTTCGTATTTACCGGTCTTCCTTAATGCGGGTAGCACTTCCTCGAATACCCAATCACGAAACTCCACAGCTTTGGGTAGCTTAGAGCTAAATATTAGTTCGTACAAGCCAGGCTCCGAAATAAACACGGAATGTGGATGAATAGTAGAAGAGCGGTGATTTGGAGCCCCTTTTATGTCAACCCACCTTTCCTTGTATTTATCGGAGACGTGATCCCTAATTGCATCTCTTGTGCGTTCATATCCTAACGCGGTTGCCGCCTCCTT